CTTCACCAGTATCCGTGCGATCTGATGAAACGAGACACTATATGATTTGTTCGGACTATTACTTGCGGTTTTCTTAGAGAGTTGTTCTGCTCCTTGATGTGGAACTCCCATTCGATCGGCGCCACCTATGTGACACATTGTTAGTGTGCCGCTGCGTTGTACGCTTGCATTGCTTAATGAGTTGATCAATCACGGTCGTGAAGTATCGGTGCTAGTTTATACGCCAATTTACCCGTCAGGACTACTACGACTGTCTTCTTTTCCTGTAGCAACTATATATTTGCTAGTTCATTCTGAACTGTGAGGAATGCGTAACGGTGGTGTGCAATTGCATGCGGTAGAGAGGAAAAGGTAGAGTGATTTTACTTCACATCGGCTTAGAGTATTTGTATTGGAAGGCAATTGTGATGTTTTAACCATTCATTAACATGTATACATGCGCCTTGCAGTCACCTCAGTCAGCCCAAATGGTCTTCAGCCGGTTGCCAAAGAGATACTCGATATACGGCAACAAACGCTTTTTTCGGATGGATCATGCTTTAATCAGCCACCCGAATATCAGTGGTATGATCGTCTTATACACGTGTATGTCACCGCCTGCTGCGATATATATATATATAAAAGATGCTTCTTCGCGAACACCGTTCCTTCACTGTTCACGGAAAGACTGAACGAATTGATCACAATTTGCCCAAAGATTGTTCTGAAAATGGCACACCTTCCCTGGTTGCTCCACAATAGATAGCGTTCCTTGACGTGTCGAGATAGAGGCTTAATAAAACAAAGTATTTCAAGTAATCCATACTGTAAAGCACTATATAAAATGACAGATTTGATGGCTAGTCTTACGCTCAGATATCGATCTCTTTCGAAGGGTAGGGAATTTCATTGAGGGAATCGTGGAGTTCACAGCCCATCTGGGTGGCTGTTCAAATCATGCATTGCATCACTATCGAGACGGATTCTGATGTGGAAATATTTATTTAGGAAAATGTAGTTGAAAAGTTTGCGCCAATCCAACAAGTGTTTCGGAGGTCATTGAAACAACGGTTTGTGAAGCAAGCAAATGAACGAAGCTTATCAAAAATAAGTTCCCACTCAGGTGAAAGATTCTCATATAACTCAGATCACAAAAGGATTACGGAACATACTTGACCGAATTCAACCAACTTCGTCGAAGTAGCAGATGCACTGGAACTATTTTCCGCGGTCGGCTCGGGTGAAACCGGTTCAACCTGTTTGGTTTTTTGTGGATAATAGGCCAAACTGACTAGAAATCGAAACATGGCGTGAACCAAACGTTGTTGGTTAATTTGTGGACCGGTGGAGGAGGCAAGCATTCGTGTCGCACTGGTGCCGATGAACGTATCGTCCGGACCACGTTTGAATCCGAACGAAACAGATTTGAATGTGGCCGAACGAGCCTGACGTTGCACCTCTAGTGACAAACTTTGACAATGGTTTAAAACCGTCTTTAGGAATTGCTGTGAAATGGATAAAAAATGAAGGAGATTTATCATTGCCCCGGAGGGTAAAACTGATCTATCAACAAGAACAGAAATCACTAGTATGTAGTATAGATGTACCGTACTGCTAACAAAATTTAGGAGGAGGAATTATACCAAGTGAAAACAGAACCTTTCACTATTGAATGATTTTTAACGGATACTGTGACAAGCGCATTTAGAAAATCATATTATATAGCAAAGTTCACCAGGTTATCCTGGTGTTATTTCTTCCCGACCCATGGTCATCTAGCTTTGTCGTACGGTGCCAAATTCGGCATAAACAAATGGGAGGTTCGGATACCGATGGTATGATTACTTACTACGCTAATTGCCTCCGTAAAGAATCACGGTCATGTTCCCCTCAGCTTCGGGACATATCTTTCTAAATAAAGTCTTGAATTCGAGCCCATATGCTCATACAATAACGAAATCGGTTAGGAGATTGAAATTTGAGCCCGAAGAATGCAATTCTAAAAGAACATTACACAAACTCCCCTGGTTTAAAACCTTGATTCCAAACCACACACAAAGAGTAGTACAAATAAAAACCTACTCCTACCTGGTTGTGGCACTGGTCGCAGGTTCGATTTGGTTCCAAAGTGTATTGAGCACCTTGGACACTTGACTCCGTCCGAAAGGCGTATGATCCGATGAACTGGACACCGGCTCCCTAGGGTTTCCATACCGCCCCGCTGCCTTGCAGGTCAGGCTTTGGTTAGTCTAAGGCTCCGGTTGTGAATTGCCATAGAGACTTCACCTGCATTGGTTGGGGAACCTGGCAGTATCGCACTCATAAGCAATCTATGGAACTTTTTATTTAAAGACTATTGTATTGTGATTGGTTTGGCATACAGTCTGAACTGAGACGTGTGTGAAATCTAATAAACTTCCTCATAAACGCCACGAGGTTTTTATTCACGAGACTGCATTATTAGTTTCCAGCGAATCGGCGTATTGTGTGAGAATTTTCGATTAACTGGCAAAAAAAGCATCAGAAGTTCACTCGGCAAGTCTATTCAATTTTGCTGAAAGATTTTTCGGTTCGGTTGAAAAATGAACGTTAAGGGATTTCATTGCATGATTCCAGATTATTGATGCTTTTAATACCCTCTTATAAGGTCAATCTACGTACGATCTGAGGGTACATGCGACCCGTCTATTTGTGCCAGTTTGTATACTGTGTACACTTAAATTTCGTGGAATTAGTTTCCTTCGATGTAGCGGACGATTAACTTTAAGTCAAGTCAAGAAGCGGTAATGATCATATCTATCCAAGGGGTGGGAGAAATCGTTCATTTGATCGAGTTCCGAAACTGCGCTGTGTATCCGTGTTTTACGTGTACCTGTTGTGTCCGGTTATTTAGTAGGCGAATGAGCACACGACGAATGGAGCAGTAAGTTTATTGTAGACAGCAAATATGTAACCGGTACACAAACCGGGGAACAAGCAGAAACGATCAGTATGCAGGCAAGTAGGCAGAGTCCGGCTCACATGTCGCAGTACATGCGAATGCCGTCAAGCCAACATTCAAACAATCAGTCAATCGACCAACCGATCGATCGATCAGTTAATTAGGTCACAAGCATGTATGAGCACAAATCAATGAGTTGTAAGCCACAACAGCACCCACGCGGCATGACGAGCCTTATCCTAGTCTGACCTCTGTTCCGATTTGTGCGGGTCAAAGTAGAGTTAAGGATGACACGGCAAGGTTAAAACAAAAGACGAGAAAAAAGAGTCTAGCGTTTGAGTGTGAAACCGAAACAATTCATTGAGCTCAAATACGATATGAGACACAGGAGGACAAAACTTTCATCCTGCTTGCTAGAAGTTCCAATATGCGGCCTCGACGTTACATAAATGGCATGATGATTAGGAGTTCTTTCAGCATTGCACCTCGTCAAGAGTGGGATGAACAAAATCTCGGGGAAAACATTTGTTATTTGGTAATTACTGGCCAATCCATATTCTTTGTATCAAAATCAAAGTGGAAACTCCATGTAAAATTTAGGCTCGCGAAAACTGTTGTGAAGTTGAGAGATGCGGCCATGTACACGAAACCATATTATGAAAAAGTGTTCGATGACCAAATTGGGTGCGTGAATGAAAGAACATCATTTCCAATGACCGATCCTAGAAAAGTCACTCACTGTGATGTTAACACGGTTCCTACCCTGGAAACTACTTTCATGAAATGTATCTGTTGGAGGACTTCTGGTCAATGACAATTATGTTTTCGTAAAAAAGTAAGAATACGAAAAGTCAATATTCCTGGTTCGGGCCAGTTGGACGAGCTACGAGCAGCAAGCTTATCCACCGCAACAAAATTCTGAACTTCCTCGAGGACATGTGAAACAGTTTTTCAGAGGCAGATAGGTAGCTCGATTGGGCAACCGAATGCCTTGAGTGTTTCGGGTGCACAAATCGCGATGAGAGGATGAGTAACAAATTTGAGTATGTATCGTCTGAAAGCCTTGAGCATCATAGACCGGCTATATAACAGTAAAGGTTATGAAAGCCTCAGTATGGTGGGGGGTGGGTGTCTAGGGCCACGGCTGGTCACCCTACACTTGCACCTCGCGAAATGCTCCCATACGACCAAGCGTCTCAAATAGCCTCTGCTGAGGATGCCCTTCTCACTGCGTTCTCGTGGCGGTGTTTTCCTACCAAAGTGAGAGGGCAATAACATGGTCGGTGGACCTTTGGCAGTTCACCTAGGGGAGTTGGCCAAAAACACTGATTCCAAACCAACCATGAGGAGGCGTGCGAACCACACCCACACCTACCCGGTCACCGGCTCGATTGGGCACCTTGGGCGTTTGACTCCGTCCGAAAGGCGTATGATCCGATGAGCTGGACACCGGCTCTCTAGGGGTTGCGGTTTTCACACCGCCCCGCTGCCTTGCATGTCAGGCTTTGGTTAGCCGAAGGCTCTGGGTGTGGATTCCCGAAGAAAATTCACTTGCCTTGGCCTAGGCAACCGGGCAGAATCCGGCCCACATGCAAATCGTGGAATATTTTTCTTTCTTTAAAGATTAGTGTAACGCGATTTGTTTGGCACACAGTCTGAGGCCAGACTCGTGTGAAATATATATATATATATATATATATATATATAAAGGCTATGAATCTTCGAGAAAAATGTCTCCTTCGGTTGAGGTTGTCGAATAAATCAAAGATTAATTCTTTGTTGTTGTGAAAATCGGTCTGGCACAACTCCTCAACTCAAGTAGATAGGGACAAAAAATAGTTACCTTTTGTGTCAGTATCGGACGATCTCAGCATGAAAAAGCACTCCAAAGAAACGAGATTTGGATAAGGATTTATAAATCATACTGATTGTCGGGAGTTTTGTGACATGGTCGCAACTCAGGTAGCTGAGAATCAAGGCGATAACTACATGGTATGCCGAAAGGGCATAAATAACAGGAAGCTCACAAAATAAATCAAAATACATAATCAACAAAACAGAGGATGAGGAAAAACAGAGCACCACGGGAAAAGCTTGGAGCGGGCACGCCTACCTGTCCGGTGTCCAGTTGTTCGTAATTCAATCGTAAACAGATCAGGTGTGTGAGTAGGTTGAGAATATTTGACTGGAGATCAGAACACGTGGTCAATCGATACACTTCCATGCTTTGAAGCACAATATGCTCGAATAATTTGAAGAACTGCGCCAATTCGGACTGTTCATGTGCGAGAAAAACAAGATGTGTATGTGACAACAATTAAGGCGGAGGAGAGAACGATAAATGTACAAATCATTATAAGTGATGAATTATAAGTTATCAATGACGAGAATCATTAATGACTTCTTCAGGTGAGAACTGCAAAGTGGCACTGTTTTTGCAGTTTCCGGTGGTGCCTACCGAAGCATGAGCACGTTTACCAATCATGGAATGTACATTCAGCCGAGCGATGAGGGTCAAGCGGTAAACGTCACTAAATTATCTCCCCGGAAAACGTGGGTTGGATTACCACTAACGCCACCTGACTTCCCCTATTATCTTATGGGCCACTTCCCCCGTCCGGAAAATTGCATCGTTAAATATTCAATAAAAGGAAGTAAAATAAAGGATAAATACATTTCTGCTATCTGGAAAGATTTCTTTGTAACCGTTGGAATACGCAGTATGTTACCTCCGCTGGCTAACGAGTAGCCATTTTCGCACACCGTACGGCGTCACACTGTTTTAAGACCTCAACTACTCTCTACCGAGTTTAGCAAGCCAGTTCGATAAATGAACAACGCAAGACGTGGAGTATACCCTAAAAGAGAAGACAACCTATGGGCTCGGTGCTACCAATGTCAAATATCCCTGATGCGATCATTTTCATTAGCGAATTCATACCCGACGCAGTCTATCCTAATCCGCTAATTGCAGGTACACCGGGCAGTGGAACAGTTTCGTTTTCGTATTCTTGTAGTAAAATTGAGACCCCCAAAGCACAAAATATTCAAGAACAACCGTGTTTAAAAGTATCTACGGAGATTAATTAAAAGAACAAGCTCATCTTGTGGTCTAACGTAGCCAAGTCACACAGTGGAGAGACTCATAAAGAGGTATAATAATTGTAGTGCAAAAACAATAACCCCGATACCGGAGAATTCCCAAATATGTTCAAACCGAGAAAATTTGACTAACGAGAAAGCGATCCTATGTTTTATGAAGTCTCAGATGCTATTACTTGGTAGAAACGGTATTTGGAATGATCTACTTTGGACAGCGCAGATGATTAGTGGACAAAGATTACATGGATTGATCTGCGGTGCATCTTCTGCCAATTTATTATTCACACTATTTCACTCAAGGAAAAGGACTCACAGATTTGGACTGAGCATTAAACGTAAACGAGGCAAGATTAGCCATTCAAAAACGCCGTTCACACAAAACCGAGGGAACTAACCTTGATCACCGATGCGCGTGAAGTGAGCGGTAACGGAACACGCCATTGACGCGCAAACCGAATCCACGCTGTGATCGGGGATCGACTCAGATGAACGGTATTCTCCGACCATGAGGCGATAGAGCTTACGTGAGCATTGTTGCTCTTTGAGATGAGAAGATTGCTACGTTCAGTATGCCGTCGAATGAGTTCGTTCGCTAGGCTGTGCACTCCAACTAATCTCGATCGGAAATTGGCAAGCACACAAGTGGACGGTGGGGTGGGGGAGAAACGAACGGAATAACTGAGATAAGTAAACGAATGGGGGTGGTATTCGGCGAAGGATGGAAAACGGTTACATAATTAACACAGAAGAGACAGTATCATTGAGATAAGACAAAATACAGGCTGGGACATTCGTATGATCACATTTCAGTCGATTTTATAAACAGTGCTAAAGCGACAAAATGGAGACCCCCCCCAAAAAAAAAACCTACTGATCGTATTCATTTTTGTAGATCTTTTGGGAGTGCCGACTAGGTAATCAACGAAGAGGACTTTTACTCAGCTAAGAATAATCAGTCATTGGTTATCAAGGAAATTCCCAGTTGTGACTAGCATTTCAACTTTGCCGAACCCCCGTACTAGTTTCCCTTACTCTGTTCTTGATCGTCCTGTGATTGGTCTCAACCGGCGGTCTAGTTCGCTCTTGGTTCTCACACCGGACACTTTTATTGAACTCTGCAATCGCGGCCCTGAAACCGTCCTTCGTTTTACGCTCACCAGAAAGAGTGCCTGTGTCCAGCAGCACCAGATATACGGTCCCGCAGTGAAGCGGTTTAAACTATTTCTATTTGAATATCTGCCGCTCCATTACCCAGAAATCACGATTACCCTCTGTAAATAATGTTTGCTGCACTCCAAGTTCTAGAATCGTCGGTATTATTTTACGTTTTTCACTTTAATTGGTCTGGTAGTTTATTCGAACTAACCTGTCGAGCTATGTTGAATGCTCATCACTGCACTCAACCTCCTGTCATCTCGCAACAGTTTGATTTAGTATCGCGGGTAACAGTTTGACTAAGCAGAATTTTCTGTAGAACTACGAGGATTCTATCAAAGTAGTGCGCATTCACCGGATTTTGTTGAGGAAAGAGCCAGCAACATGAATGCCGGTCAAGACGGTCTCCGATGACCGTGACAGCTTACTTCTCGATACCCGTCAGTTATCGTTAAACCTTACAGGTATCACACCTCTGTAAACGCGCAACCTCTATAATATCACATTTTTTAATCACGGAATAATTACCGCGGTAACCAATAATTGGGGAACCTCTGGAGTGCCACACCTTCTCCGCGTAAAGCGTTTAAGACGAACCGACAAAAAACAACTTATACCATGACGTGAACACGAACACAAAGGCTGTGTGAGCGGAAATAACGAGAGAGAAAAACTAGATTGTAAACAACTTAGGGCATTAACTCCGAAAATATCTGTCGATTGCAGAGATTGGGAAGCACAGCACGTTTTGACTGAATGCAGAGTTACTGGATGAATGGGGTTAAGTGCCCGCTGAATCCAACTGCCGTTTCAGAAAATGGGTACAGGTTCGAAAACAGCAACCTAGCTTACAAGCAAGACTTGTAAGGTCCCGAATTTGCTGAGAAAGTACTTCTCAGACTTGTTCTTAACCACTGATCGTTCGTTATTTTCGCTCAACCCTGTAAACTGACGCTGAGTCGGCTCGTAATGGATTCACAATCCACGCTACAGCATAGATGTACATTCCCCGTCTTTTGAGAGATAATGATTACTGTGAGGGAATCCTCTGGGAATGATGAGTTCCTTTAGTTTTTCTGCACTCCAGCACAAACAAACAGATTGTGTTTGCTATTATCTCATGCATGTGTGCCGAAGTACAAATGTCCTGATCCTTACTGTCTGCACCTAAGAACCGTAACCTCTTGCTTCTCGTCCTTGCCACAGAATAATATACTCCATAAGATTCATGAAAGCTACCATATTCTGCTGAGGCTTACAAGGCTTATCCACTGAGCGATCAACTCAGAAGTGCCAGCTGTTGAGCTCCGGTGATAAAAATGTATTTGGAATTGTAATTTTTTGTTCAACATTCTGCAACTCCAAGTCATAATATATTTTGATAATAGTTTTATTCTGTCTTTCTCCTTGTTTAAGGAAACACAAGCGATTATTATGCACCAATACCTAATCTACAGGAAACGAAACGTAAATTAAAAAACGCGATATAAAACTTAACATAGAATCTCCCGAAAAATGCTACCTCAGATAACAAAAAGGAGGCAATATTAGTGAGGTCTGACTGTATATGAAGTGAATGGATATTTTATTCAGAGCTGTCAGTATCTGTCGGAACGAAAGTTACTGATGAAAAGGGATTCTACAGCGTTAGGTTAAAGTGAGATACGATGAACATGAAAAACTTGTACCCGGTTTAGCGATAGAAAAGGACTCTGACAACTGATTTCGCTGATCCGTCTCTGATTGGCCACTTAGAGCCATGTTGTACAGTCGGGCTAATTGATCGTCCCAATGACTGATCAGATTGGTTCCGACAAAGGCGCGCAAAATCTGTATCAGATAAAAAGAAGAGAGAGAGACATGTTCACTCTGCTTGACGAAGACACATTCATGAAACTGATTCGTTAAACTATCGGCAGAGAAACGACATATGGTTAATCTTCACACAAGAGCAAAACTTATGTTGAATAAACAACTTAGCTGGTGGTGAGAATGAAAGTGATACGAAACGCATTCCTCCTCAGATTATTTTGTTACACGCCATTGTATCAACTCAATCAAACAATTGCTTTGTAACACAATCAAGCAGATCTACTTTGAAACAGTGAAATTTAGCTGATAACTCGCACCTCAACGAAATTATTAGCGATTCATGCAATAAACATTTCAGGTCAACTAGATCGAGGAACGTGGGTGCGAATAACAATTCGAAATCACTATCCCACGAACAAGTGTATTATACAAACAGAGCAATCCTACCTGTGCGGCTGCATCCAAACACGAGGACGGTTGCCAGTGGTAGAGTTTCGTCACATAGGTAAGTAGTTCTTCCGAATACGGAGCAGTCTCAGCTAGCCGAAGATTGGTCATAAGACGACTGAGAGCGAACAAGTAAGCCCGGAGCAACCCCATAAATCGATCATTCGTTCCGGTGGGATCAGGGGATATCTATCACAGTCAGTGAGATAAGAGTCCAGCAGACAACAGACAGTAGATGTAGATGGATGTAGAATGAGAAAATACCTATCAGTATGTTTTCAATCCAGTACACTATATATATACTCTGTGTTCCGAGCGTTCTTTAACCATTTTGATGAACTCATTTTCAGTAAAAAGCTCAGAAAGCAACAGAACAGAATCTGTAGCAGTAATACCATCACGACGAGACTGCAACTTGACGTGGTGTGATGGCTTGTGTGCCTCAATGACCCTG